GTGCCTCCATTTAAATCCCAGTGCTAATCTTCCTCTGCAGCCCCATTTCCGACTTCTCTCACAATTGGCCACAGCTGCCCACACTCTGGGCAGGTGTGGCCCTGTGGTGTGGAGCCAATTATCTCCAAACTCTTCTGGACCCTATTACAAATCCCTATTTGGGGCTCCCCTCTTGGCTGAACCCTGTTACACTCTTTGGAGAAGTGTCTATTCCAGTCTTTTGCCCATTTTTTCATTGGGTTATTTGGGGGGTTCTTTGGTGTTGACCTTTAACTGTTCTTTATAAATTTTGGATAGTAAACCCTTATCAAATGTATCAGTGAATATGTTCTCCCATTCAGGGGGTTGTCTTTTCACTTTGTCGATGGTTTCTTTTGCTGTGCAAAAATTTTCTAGTTCAGTGTACTCCCATTTGTTTATTTTTTCTCGTTTCCTTGGCCCAAAGAGATGTATCAGAAAAAATGTGGCTACAAGAAATGTCCAACATTCTACTGCCTGTTTTCTTCTAGCATTTTTATAGTATTGAGTCTAACACTTAAGTTTTTGATCCATTTTGACTTTATTGTTGTGTGTGTGATAACAAGGTGGTCTAGTTTCATTCTTTTGCACATATCTGGCTGGTTTTCCCAACACTATTTATTGAATAAACTATCCTTAACATATTGTATTTTTTACTTCCTTTGTCAAATATTGACTATAATGGCATGGGTTTATTACTGGGCTCTCTATTTTGTTCCATTGGTCTATATGCCTGTTTTTCTGCCAGCACTATGCTGTATTAAATACTATGGCCTTTTAGCATAGTTTGATATTAGGCAGCATGATTCCTCCAAATTTGTTTTTTCTTTCTCAAGATAGCTGTTGCTATTCAGGGTCTTTTGTGGTTCCATATAAATGTTTGGAATATTTGTTCTGTGAAATATGCCACTGGTATCTTAAAAGGACTTGTGTTGAATCTGTAGATTGCTTTGGGTAGTATGGGCATTTTAATGATGTTAATTCTTCCTATCCATGAACAAGGTATGTGCTTGTACTTATTTCTATCTTCAATTTCTTTCATTAGTGTCTACTAATTTTCCCAGTACAGGTCTTTTATATTCTTGGTTAAATTTATTCCTAGGTACTGTATTCTTTTTGAAGCATTTGGGAATGAGATTGTTTTCTTAATTTCACTTTCTGATAATTCATTATTGGAGTATAAAATGCATCTGATACCTGAATATTAATTTTGTATCCTGCTACTTTACTGAATTCATTTATCAGTCCTAGTAGTTTTTGGTGGAATCTTTAGGGTTCTCTAGACACATGTTAAGAGGTTTAAGAGCCATGAAAGAATATGGAATATCTGGCATTCCAGCCATTTCCCCAGTTTGTCTTCTTCCTATCTCTAAGTTCTATTGTATAACTTATATTTTGAGATTTCTAATTTTTGAATCGCCTTTTACCAAAGGCATTGTCAGCTTAGAGTGAGAAAGACAGTGAGTCAGAAAGGATACTGGTGTTGGGCCAGAAGGAAGCCTGGAGAAGTTAGGAGATGGACAAGTTAAGCATTTCCTTGTTCCGACTTAAGCATCGGAACAAGGACGCTGATCTCTGTGGTTGCCTTTTCTTCTTCCAGTGCATCTCTCCCCACACTGTATCTTTAGATCTTTCTTTCTCCCCTGGCTTCAGGGTAGCTTCTAGCTAGTGGAGTGGGACAAGGGATTTCTGGATCAGTGAGTTCCCTGTCTACTCTCTGTCAGACTTCCCATTTCAGTTGCATCTTCTATTACAGTGGCTTAGCAGGAACATCACTGCACAGGGAGGAGAGTACAGTATTCCTGGGCCTACACAGCGCTGCATATTAAAAATGACATGGCCACACTGGAGAGAATCCGGATGTAAATACTTTTTTACAACCAGAGTTTTGGAGATGTGATCAGAATGCAACTATCAAACAAGAGAGAGGCTAATGAACCTAGAAAAAGAAAAACCATCATGACTGGAATTCATCAAAAAACAGAACAGGCCCTTCTACCATGAGAGGACACAGCAAGAAGACAGCTATCTGGGAGCCAGGAAGCAGGCCTTCACCAGATACTGAATCTGCCAGTGCCTTAATTTTGGACATCCTAGCCTTCAGAACTAACATTTCCGTCACCTCAAAAAACAAAAAGCAGGACTTCTGGCCAAGATGGAGGCATAGGTAGACACACTATGCCTCCTTGCACAACCAAAAGAATGACAACAACAATGTAAAAACAAAAAACAACCCAAACTGACAGAAAATTGAATTGTATGGAAGTCCGACAACCAAGAAGTTAAAGATGAAACATCCATCCAGCCCAGTAGGAGGGGTGGAGATGGGCAGCTGGGCAGAGAGGACTCTTGGCAAAGTGGTGGCTGTAAGACCGGGGTGGGCAAGGCAGTAGCTGGTGGAGAGGGCAGTCTGACATTCACTTGTGGATAAATTGGGAGGACCACCTGGGGAGGAAGACAGATCCCCACAACCCCAGGTCCCAAATAAAGCCTCAAACCCATGGAAAACACACCTGTGGGGGTTGAGGTGTCACTGGGAGAAACTCCCAGCCTCACAGGAGAGTTCATTGGAGAGACACACAGGGTCCTAGAACATACACAAGCTCCTCCACCTAGGAATCAGCTGAGAAGGGTCCACTTTGCTCGTGGGTAGCCAGGGAAGTGACTGAAATCCAGCAGAGAGCAGAGCAAGCACCACTGTTTCCTCTCGGACCCCTTTCCCACATATAGCTTCACAATGCAAAGAAGTGGGTTGCCTCACCCTGGTGAACACCTAAGGCTCTGCCCCTCATATATAGCAGGCACACTGAGACAAAACAAAAAATGGCTCAAATGAAAGGACAGATCAAAGCTCCAGCTTTGCGACGAAGAGATAGCCAACCTACCAGATGCACAGTTCAAAACACTGGTAATCAGGATGCTCACAGGGTTGCTTGAATTTGGTTGCAAATTAGATGAAAAAATGAAGGCAATGCTAAGTGAAATAAAGGAAAATGTATAGGGAACCAATAGTGATGGGAAGGAAACTGAGACTCTAATCAATGGTGTGGACCAGAAGGAAGAAAGAAACATTCAACCAGACAAGAATGAAGAAACGAGAGTTCAAAAAAATGAGGAGAGGCTTAGGAACCTCCAGGACATCTTTAAATGTTCCAATATCCGAATTATAGGGGTGCCAGAAGGAGAAGAGGATGAGCAAGAAATTGAAAACTCATTTGAACAAATAATGGAGGAGAACTTCCCCAATCTGGTGAAGGAAACAGACTTCCAGGAAGTCCAGGAAGCTCAGAGAGTCCCAAAGAAGTGGGACCCAAGGAGAAACACACCAAGGCACATCATAATTACATTACCAAGATTAAAAATAAGGATTCTTAAAAGCAGCAAGAGAAAAGAAGACAGTTACCTACAAAGGAGTTCCCATAAGATTGTCAGCTGATTTCTCAAAAGAGACCTTATAGGCAAGAAGGGGCTGGAAAGAAGTATTCCAAGTTATGAAAGGCAAGGACCTACATCCAAGATTACTCTATCCAGAAAAGCTTTCATTTAGAATGGAAGGGCAGGTAAAGTGCTTCTCAGATAAGGTCAAGTTAAAGGAATTCATCATCACCAAGCCTTATTTTATGAAATGTTAAAGGGATTTATCTAAGAAAAAGAAGATAAAAATATGAACAGTGAAATGACAACAAACTCACAGTTATTAACAACTACATCTAAAACAAAAACAAAAACAAACTAAGCAAACTACTAGAACAGGAAGAGAATCACAGAAATGGAGATCACATGGAGGGTTAGCAACAGGGGAGTGGGAGGGGGAGAGAGCAGGAAAAGGTACAGAGAATAAGTAGCATAAATGGTAGGTAGAAAATAGACAGGGTGAGGTTAATACTATAGAAAATGTAGAAGCCAAAGAACTTATATGTATGACACATGGACATGAACTAAAGGGGGGAAATGTGGGTGGGAGGGGTGTGCAGGGTGGAGGGGAATAAAGGGTAGGGGAAATGGGACAACTGTAATAGCATAATCAATAAAATATATTTTAACAAAACAACACAAATCAAGAGATTTAAACTCACGTGTTCAAAATTTTAGGTGTCTACTAAACCAAAACTTGTGACTTTTTAACACTGAAACCAGCTACTAAGTGGTGTGAAAAATCTAAATCCTTAGAAATTAAAACACACATATACTCCTGTTTAACAGCGGACCCAGAAGGATACACCAAGTAGCTAGGCAAAGTTCCTCCTAGCCCTGATTCAAATCTTGGACTTTTTCAAGGCTGTACCTGATGAACATTTATCAATAAAATGTTTTCATTTTATATTTCTATTCTCTAAGTTTGTCCTATAAATACCTGCACACCAACTTCCGGTTCACCTTATCAAGAGAAGCAGGGCAACTTTAGAAAAGGAGAATGGCTTGTTTTGTTGTACCGCAGCAAAACCAGTAAGATACTAGAATCTTTTAAATGTCTCACTCCAGAATACAGCGTTCAAATAAATGTTAGGCAAAAACTTAAAACTAAGTGCCTTTTTTTCTGAGCCAGTCCTGGGTAGGTACCTGGGTTTAGAGATCTGTACAGTACATAATCCCTGGGTTTCAGGAGGCAGGCACTGGTTACCAAGCTTCTGTCCTGCAAGGTGACTGACAATATGAACTCCCCGCATGGTACCAGAGTCCGGGAATAACAGGCTTTTACACTGAGCTCGAAACTCCTCGCCCAGAACTTTCTGGCCTTTTAACTCAATAAGCCCGATTTCACAGAAGTGCTTTTCTACAGGCGGCCCCTGCTAAACCTAAGGCCAAGTGACACTCTGAGAAGCGCTGTAAGGTCTGCGCCCAGGGGACACAGGCACGAGAAGGCCCAGGAGAAGCCCCGGGGGGCCAAGGAGGGCAGACTACACACAGCCGTTGCCTCCCCTGGGCGGAGTCCGGTGCGCACCTTGGTGAACCATCCTACGTTTCTACAACGAGCCTGCCGCCTCCTCTCAGGGCCGAAACACCAAGTAGAAGACGTGGGAGGCGGCGCCCAACGACAGCGACAGCGGCAGCAATAGCGACGACCAATTTCCACCGCACAAAAGGGCCCCGCTTCTTCCGACAAGGTAGCCACCGTGCCACGGCTACTGAGCTAGGGCGTCCTGGGTCTTCGCCTCCATGCCCGGAGGGGCGCGGGGACTACGGTGATCGCGCGGATAAGCGCTGCTGCCCCCTGCAGAGGACTGAGACACCATCGCCCGTCCGCTCCTGCCGGGGCCAGCTCCGGGGAGACAGGGCTGAGCCCGGGAGAGGGACCGGCCTAGGGGCCAGCGGGGCTCCCTGCCCACCCCACCGTTTCCACTGGGGAGTGCTGGCCTGCAGTGCTCCTGCAGTCTTCTCCCTGCGTTGCTCCGCCAAGGAAGAGCCCAGGCCAAATGGCGACCCTTTGGTTCTCAGGCTTGCAGGCTTGGGCCCATCACCAGCTCCTCCCTCTTGTCTGCCCACGTGCACGGCCGCGTAGCGGCCTCTTGGAAGCCGAGGCCTGTTTGGGAGACTTGCGCCTCCGCCCTTCGCCTAGCCACACACTGGCGAGTGTAGCCTTCCCTCCCAGGGACTCAGTTCCAGGGAGCTGTCCAGAACAAAAGGCAGTCAGCTGGGGAGCTCCCTGCTCACCGAGGGCTCAGTTCCAGGCCGGGCGGCTTCTGAGCACCAATGTGGCCCTTCCAGGCTCTTAAAGGATGTCTCACCACCTGCGTAGGCAAACCCAGCTGACAGATATGTGTGCATGTGTGTATTTGTTGCTAATCAAGACCAGAAATAGACAACTTGTATTTGTGCCCAGTATTGATGCAGTTAACCCCTCTCCCGCAATTTCTCACACTTTCCCCATCTTCCCTGACTCATCCCAATTTTATGGTATGGGGTCTCACAATTCCGTATTTAACTCATTTTCAGTTTAACCTTTCATATGGTGTAACAAAGTGGTCTAGTTTCATTTACTGTATTTATCTGTCCAATATCCCCAACAAGATTTATTGAATATATTTTTTACCTCATTGTATGTTCTTGTCTCCTCTGTCAAATATTAATTGATATTAATTCACCATAATAGCATGGGTTTATTTTGGGGTTCTCTGTTGTCTTACTGATTTTTATAGCTGTTTTATGCTACTACCATGCTGTTTTGATTAGTATGACCTTGTAGTATGCTTTGTTGTCAGTTAATATGATTCCTCCAAATTTGTTTTTCTTTCTCAAGGTTACTGTGCTTATTTGGGGGCTTTTGTGATTCTATAAATTTTTGGAGTATTTGTCTTAGTTCTGTGAAATACACCATTGGTTATGTCAATATGAATTATGGTTGAATCTATGAATTGCTTTGGGTAGGATGGACATTTTAATGAGGTTCATTCTTCCTATCCATAAACATGCTTTATGCTTTCATTTATTTGAATCTTTCTCAAATTTCTTTTCTGTGTCATAATTTTGTGAGTTCAGGTCTTTTATATCCTTAATTAAATTTATTCCTAGGTATTTTATTTTTATTTTGATAAAATTATAAGTGGAATTTTTTAGATTAACTTTCTGAGAGTTCATTATTGAAGTGTCGAAATTCAGTTGATTTCTCAATATTTTGTATTCTGCTACTTTTCTGAATTCATATATCAGTTCTAGTAGGGTTTTTTTGTTTTGTTTTGTTTTGGTGTAATCTTTAGGTTTCTCTGTATTCAGTATCATGTATCTGCAAATAATGACAGTTCTTCCTTTCCTACTTGAATGCCTTTTATATCTTCTTTTAGTTTCATTGCTGTGACTAGGAATTTTAGTACTATGTTGAATAAGAGTGGTGAAAGTGGATATCCATGTCCTGTTTTTAATCTTAACAGAAACATTTTACTTTTTGCTTAATGAGTAGGTTGTTTGGCTGTGGGTTTGACATAAACAGCCTATATACAGTTAAATTATGTTCCATTTATTGTCACTTTGCTGAGTGTTTATGATGAATGTGTGCTGGATTTTATCAAAAGCTTTTTCTGTATCTATTTATATGATCCTGTGATCTTTATCCTTCATTTTGTTTATGTGATGTGTCATGTTTATTGGTTCTCAGATATTGTACTAACATAGCATCCCAAGAATAATTCCTACTTGATCATGGTGTGGGATTTTTTTTTTCGAACCTACTAAGTTTATTTGGGATCAAAATGAATTGCGATTCTGGAAGTACAAATTCAGGCAGAAACCCAAATAATGTTCTCATCACAGGGTGAGGGCAAGGGGATTTTTGTGAGAAGAGGAAGAGAATGATGACATGAACGGGAGAAAGGAGTTTTTGTTCATGCTAAAAAGCTATGCGTGTCTGGTTACTCGTGATCTTCAGAAAGAGGCTCCATTATCATCAGTCATTGTGGTCAGGATGTCTTCTTTCTTCTAAGTTTTGCAAACAGTTGTTTGTAATCAAAGTTGGTTTGGATCATTCCAAAGTTATTTTTCCCAGTTCAACCATTCCAAAGTTTCAAGGAGCAGGACATGCAAACAGTGCCTGTGGACTGGCTGCTCTAGTTCCATATTAAAATGGCTTCATTTATGTTAATGTTTCACACCCTCTGGGTGACTGCTTTCCAGTTATAAAGATTTTATGCTTTTTCTCCACCATCATTTATTGAGCACCTCCTATGCACCTGGCATTTTCCCAGGCAATTTACATAAGCTACCTCATTCGGTTCTATGAGGTAGGAATCATTATATGTCTGTTTTTTAGAGATATGGAACCAAACACCAGACAGTTTGAATAATCCACACAATTTCACACAGCCAAGAAGAGGTCAAGAGAAAATACCTACACAGGTCTGATGAATGCAGAGCAGGTTTCCTTTCTTTTTAAAGTACTGCTGCATCTGCTTTGTTAATATGGTGTTGAGGATTTGAGCATCCAGGTTTATCAGAGAGATTGGCCTATAATTTTCTTTCTTTGTAGTGTCTTTATCTGGTTTTGGTATTAGAATAATGACTAGCCTTGTAAAATGAGCTTGGGAGTTTTCCTTCGTCTTGAATTTTTTGGAATAGTCTGAGGAGACTAAGTGTTAGTTCTTTAAATGTTTGGTAAAATTCACCTGTAAAGCCATCTGGTACAGGATTTTGTTTGTTGTAAATTTTTTGGTTATTACTTTCATTACTATTTCATTACTTGTAGTTGATCTGTTCTTGACTAAGTTTTTGAAGATTGCACAGAAATTTATCCACTTGTTCCAGATTGTTCAACTTCTTGATCTATAATTGTTTTAATATTTTCTTACAATCCCTTGTATTTCTTTGGTGTCAGTTGTTACTTCTCTTTCACTTCTTATTTTATTTTTTTGGGTCCTCACTATTTTTTTCTTCATGAGTCTGGTAAAGCGTTTATCGATCTTGTTTATCCTTTTAAAGACCCCAGCTATTGGTTTCATTGAAAAATTGTATTTTTTTTAGACTCTATTTCATTTATTCCTGCTCTGATATTTATGATTTTCTTTCTTCTTCACACTTTCAGGTGTGAAAGAAGAAAGGTTTCTTTAGGTGTAAGTTTAGATTGTTTATTGAAGGTGTTTCTTGTTTCTTGAGGCAGGCCTATGTTTTCATGAATTTCACGCTTAGGACTGCTTTTCTCTTTGTCCCATAAAATTTTGAGTTGCTCCATTCTTATTTTCATTTGTCTCAAGGTATCTTTTACTTTCTTCCTTGATCTCACTGTTAACCCATTCACTGTTTAGTACCATGCTGATCAGCCTCAATGTGTTTGTGTGTTTTTCATTATTTTTTCTTGTAATTGATTATTAGTATCACCATTCTTGTCAGAAGATTCTTGATATGATTTCAACCTTCTTACATTTATTGAGACTTATTTTGTATTCTTACATGTGGTCAATCCTGAAAAATGTTCTGTGAGCACTTGAAATGTATGAATATTCTACTACTTTGGGGTGAAATGCTCTGAAAGTATCAATTCAAACCAATGGTCCAGTGTGTTATTTAAGGTACCTGTTTTGTTGTTGATTTTATGCCTAGATTTACCCATGGAGGTCAGTGGCTTTATTAACATCCCCTACTATGACTGTATTGCTCCTTTTATGTCCATCATGACTTGCTTTATATTATTGGGTGCTCCTATGTTGAGTGCATAAATGTTTATAAAGATTATATTCTATTGTTGGATGAATCTCTTTCTCATTGTGCCAAGTCCTTATTTGTCTCTTATTATAGCCTTTACCTAAAGTATTTTTTTCTGATAAAAGTAATGCTAACTCAGTTTTTTTGTTTGTAACCATTGCATGAAGTATCCCTATCCAACTCTTTACTTTCAATGTGTATTTCCTTCTGAGGTGGGTCTCCTGTAGACAGTATGACAGTATATATGTGGGTCTTGTTTCTTGTGGATTCAGTTATCCTATGTCCTTGATTGGAGTATTTAATCCATTTACATTTGAAGTGATTATTGATAGGTACAGATTTATTGCCATTTTACTTTATCATTGGGTTCCACTTTTTTTTTTTCATTGTCTTTACTGTTGGGAACTGTCCTGCCTGGTTTCAGAAGCTGTAACGCCCCCATGGCTAAAGCTGAGTAAAAAGACCTTGGGACCATAAGCCACTAAGGAGACAAAACTTATCCTCCCAGCAGGGGCGCAGCCTCTGCCCTGCTTGGCCCCTGGAGGATGGTTGGACAGTGAATGATGCCTAAGATTCCTCAAGGGAGGAACAACCTAAGACAGATACAGTCTCGAAGGGGCCATCAGGGAAGGATTTAGGGGATTATGAAGGAGGGGCAAAAAACCCTCACCCTTGGCTTTGTCTTAGCCTGAATTCTCATTCTATCTGTAAGAAGTCTTCTAATCTCTTGGCTTCCTTGCTTCCCCTGCCTGACTCAAGCTGGAAACCTTGCCAGAGGGTGGTGCAGCCCTGTGCCAGAATAGGCTATCAGGCCTAAGAAAGAGTGCATAAAATCCTATGAAACTTGCTTTGCTAAGAATACCCTCAATTTAAATGTTAAGGGTCCAAGCATAAAATGAGTTTGTTTCCCGAAGTTTTATGGTCCTTTGCCCGGTCACTCTATCTATCTGACCCAGACTCAGAATAAGCCCTTATAGTT